GAAAAAGTAAAAACAATAAAACAAACAGCTTGTTGACTGGTCTGGATAAATATATCACATAAACCTATATTACAGTGTATTTTAATACATAACATTGTATTTTAGTAGATCACACAGTATTGTATTGTGTTGTATTATGTCATATTGCAACAATAGAAGTGATTGGCAGGAAACAGAAAATGAAAAATAATAAAAAATAAGAAAGTGTAAAATCCCCTGAATGTTTCGTGTCGCGGTCACGCCTGAGTTACGTAACAGCGCTGACGTAATGACATCACGAGGCCTGTCTGGAAAGCGGAAGTGAGGAGGAAAACAACAGCGGCGGCGGCGGCGGGGTCGAGTCCGTGTAGTTGAGGAAGAAAGAAAGAAAAGCCAGCGGGCGACACGTCGATTTAACGGTTCCGTTAAAGTGCCCACGGTCGATTTACGGTTAACCGCGCCGGTTCGGTTTCACGTTTGCTCGCACGATGTCGTTAATCGCGAAGATTTTCGGCGGCGGAGGGAAGAGTGGGAAAGCGCCCACCACCCAGGACGCGATCCAGCGACTCCGAGAGACCGAGGAGATGCTGGCGAAGAAACAGGATTTCCTCGAAAAGAAGATCGAGCAGGAGCTGGTGACGGCGAAGAAGTACGGCACGAAGAACAAGCGAGGTGAGGAAGGAGCTGCCGGGGAGCTTTGTCACCCTCGGAGTCCTGGGAGAGCCCGGCGAGTTCCGTGGTTAGCTCGTCAGGCTAACAGGGAAGTTTGCTCACCTGAAGTGTGAGTCCATGTTTAAATGTCTCGCGCGAGGCCACAGTTCACCACACCGCTGAGAAACGTGGATTACTACTATTATTATTATTATTACAGGAGCCCGTGGGCCTTAACGCTTCACTTCCATCAGACACAAAGAGCAGAAGTTATTCCAAACTTTTATTAGATAAACAGTTGTTTTCTCACCACGAGCTGTGAGATTAGTTATAGAAATATGATTTCAGATCAAACTGGTTATAGATAAACACCTGATTGATAGGATCTATTGGTAGAAGTTAAATATACAATAATCCTCGTGATGGTTTCATTAGTGAGCGATCGTCTGAACTGTACCAATTGTTTTCTATATTATTATAATATACTATGTATTTAAATACTGTATATTCACTGAGGGAGCGGGTCCTCTCTTTCACAGTGATCCAGAATGGACAAAGTTTTTATGACAGCTGTGACGTGAGGTCATGATGAGAAGTGGAGGGTGTGGTGAGTGGTGTTCGGCTGCTAAATGCAACTTCACCACTAGATGTCCCTAAATTCTACACAGTGAACCTTTAAGCTCACTCATCCATATTCATTACCGTAACCTACCGACAAACGCTAACAATTATTCCTCACAGGTTATTCGTGAAGTTTTTATACACAGCACTGGTGTTACAGGCGTCGAGAATGAGTAAACATCCGTCACCACGTCTGAAAACAATCACAGGTGTCGTGCACTCAAACAGGTATGTGACAAGGACATGTGTTGTTGCGTTCGAGGCTAAACTATACAAAACCTTTAACAAAATGCGTTTTCAGATGCGTTAAGTTCACATCATCATAAATAATAAGGTTTATTATGTTTGATTAGGAAAGTGTGTAAATCACTAGAAAGAGAAAAAAAACAGAAATGGAAGGTGTATGTTTGAGAACTAAAATAAGTTTGACTAAATTGTTATTGTCAGTTTAATTTGTCTATTTTAAAACAGATTTAAAAACCAGTTTTTCTCGCTTGAGATGAAAATGTTTTGTATCCAGAATGTTACCCACCCATCGTGGATTTCATGCTTCTCATGAAACTCACAGACAGTCGTTTCATACATGCACTAACCTGTGAGTAAGATTTTAAATTAGTTGTTTACTTTGTGAACCAATCCAACTAACACAGATGGGCCAGGACTAGTGTTCAACTTAACAATCAACGGCAGATTCAAGTTTATTCCAAATCAAGTTTTAAAGTTTTCAGTCAAGTCTGTAACCCTGATGTAATATTCAGACGTGAAGTTGATCTCCTGATTCATAGCAGCATTGTGTCAAGACCAGAAAAGAAACCTAAGAATTTATTACAATGCAACTACCTGGACTGTGTCCACGGCCAAGCCTTGTTAATAAATGAAGCTAAGGCGCATTAGTATCAACCATCTGATCTTTATCTTGACTTTAATGAACAGTCACGATAAAGAATAAAACCTTGTGTACCTGGCATCAGTTAATTGTCTGTGTGTGGTTTTCCTTTCTGGAAATAGATCTATTACCATTTCCTCCACCAAGGAAGTTATGTGTGCATCAGCATTTGCTTGTTTGTGTGTCTGTCAGGCAGCAGCATTACACAAAAAACATTGCAGTCTTTTCTGTGCTATCGTCATTTGCCAGATACATCTGGACTCCATTCAGCAGCTTTAATTCCCCTGAACTGAAGTTTACTGTGTTAGTTCTTCCTGCTGCGTGTTGAGATCAGATCCCAGTGTGATAATATGGAAGAGTTTCAATGCCAGGCATAAATGTGAACCTATGATTTAATGCATTTCTCTATGTAAAGATCTCGTAAATGGAGTATGAGGCTGTGACTGGAGAAATTTAAATGCTGCGGGAAATGCTTTGTCATGTTGGACAGGCTTTCTCCCTGCATTAGCATTGAACTGTATCACTGCTTCCATTTGTTACGTATAATTGAGTGTTCAAACCGGTGCATCATATTGTAAAGCATTTGCTGTACGTGTGGTTTGACGTGTAACCAACAGTGCAGACAGACGGGCTGTGGGACCGAAATATGTTTTCAGGAATTTATCAGTAGAATCAAAAAACATTTTGTCAACAAATCTCTTGTTAGTTTGGAACTGGCTCCAAAGCAGGACTGAACTCTGTGGTGGTCCTGGGAGCAGTCCAGGATGCACACTGCCTCTCAGCCAGTGCATGCTGGGATAGCCCCTCATAACCATGAACAGAATAGTTATCAGCGATTATGATCAACGATGGCCGCTTGCACTTGTAAGAGAGGCAGAGCAACCACAGCAGGACCTGTCAAACGGCCTCCTGGTTTATATAGATTCCTCCACCGAGGAGGTTATTGTTTCCACTCCTGTCTGTAGTTTTTTTTGTCAGCAGAATTCTGCAAAAACAACTGACTGGATCTTTACGAAACCTGGCGGAAGGATGTGACTTGGGCCTAGAAAGAATTCATTACATTTTGGAGCTGATCCAGTTTTTCTTCAGGGCAACTGTTGGGCCTTGGCAGAGGTAAAGTTTGCACTTTACTGAAAGCCATTCTAGTTTTAGCTGCTGTGGGCAGGACTTGTCATCCTAACTTTAGCGATTCAACCCTCTTAAGAATAAGTAGCAGGGTTTTTTTTTCACGACTGATGAAGCAGGAAGTGGGTGCCTCAACATTATTGTTGTTTCTGCTACAGCCCAGACTGTGGTCAGGCTTTTAAATTGGCTTTCCAGTGACACAGCACTCACCATCACCCAACCAGCAGAGGAGGGAGGAAGAGGTATATCATTTGATGTGTTTGCTAAGTGTCATTGGTCTGTGAGAGCTCAGTGTAAACTGTGCCACAGCCCATCACTTCGATGTTTTGATTCTATTCAAGAAACTCCTGATCATAAACACATTCTTCCACTAAGAGTCATGTCATTCCTTCTGTAGTGTTTGCGTAATCCTGCAAACTAACAAACCTAATTAACTTTCCTGTCTAAGTATATTTTATGTCATTAATTAACTCAGCCATGTGATTGCCCCGGGTGCAGATCCTTATACAAATCCAGATTTGGACGATTTAAACTTTATTTCATAAAGGGACCATCGGGCCTTGGTGACGATATGCGCCCTGCTGAGTGCCCTCATCGTAAGATTACATCATAGATTTCAACTTTTGTTCCGCTGGATAAAACCTACTCTGATATTTTTGGCCACAGTAGTTGTACCACAAATAACCAGTTTTCCCTCAAACCTGATTTTCAACATAGTCTTTTACCGTCGGTTGTTCTCCTGCTAGCTGGGCGACAGATGATATGCACACAATCCATATATTTTTTTAGTAAACCTACCACAATAAGAGCATCTGCGTTATGGGGTCTTTTCAGTGCTTGTTGTGTCCATATTTGAATACCATACTTCACTTCCTTATTTGAGCTTTGTTTATAATTTTCCACTCTGAGTTGAGACAGTAACTGCTGAGTAATTCCTCTGGGACCTGAATTCAGCTCCGCACTCCAAATAATCTGATTGTCATTTGTGTGATGTTGGGTAACAATGTTATCAGTCCAGGAATAGAGCCAGGCAATGATATAATCTAATGAAACTGCAACCATCAGCTGCTGTCTGGCTCCTGGTGGACCAGACCAACCACATGCAGCTGTTAAATAAAGGTGCGAGTGTTCGCCTTGTGCTACCATGCTAACAACATGCTAAAGGGACAATGATAACATGCTGATTTTAAAGGATGAAAAATGTGTATTCTCTTAGTCAGGCGTGTTGTCGACATCATCAGCACAAACCCAGAGGTCAGGTACAGTATTTGACTATCAACTAAATAATGATGTCACATCTTTTGACCTGTTGATGTCACTTCATCAAATAATCAGGGGTTAGCAAAGTTCATGTAAAGTGTATTTCAGCGGTGGACTGATGAATCAACCCTGCAATTCCCTTTAATCACTTTTGGGACGCTGTCATGTCGTCCTTCTCATATCTATTTAAAGTCTATGTTACACGGTTTCTTGTTTACGTGGAGGTGTCACATGGATTGAGGGGTTAGAAGATCATTTATTTGTTTTGTGGTGTATCCGTCCTTCTGAAACACATTTTTATTATCGACGTCCTTTTGACACAGACCTTGGATAGGGAAACTGTTGCTGTGGCATCTAAAGCGATTACTTATAGCCGTGTATGTTTGTGTAAAAATGTCAAAGTGTGATCGATTTCCTGTGATAAAGGAGCTGAGTTAGGAATTAGTTCAGGAATAATTTCAGTTACCTGTTGCTGCTCACGAGGGTGACAGCGACTATAAAATATCCTAATCTTTTAAAAAAGCTCATCTTTATCTTATCCACCTATTAATATTGATATTTAAAAGTCTAAACCTTATTCTATCGTCTGCTAATCTTCAGTGTGAAGTGTACTCCAGGCACGTGGGTTGTACAGATTTGTCACAAACACACACCCTTCACATATGACTCAGCAGGTTAAGGTCACCATCTCCCTTGATGAGGTGAATGTTCCATGTTTGCATCTGAGGGGAATTCCCTGTGACCTGGTTTTGTAACGAGTGTTGTAACGCGGCAAAGAGCAGAAACACACTGAACTACGATTGAACATCCAATCTAGCTGCTACCTTTACTCTGGATCTCTCTCTCTCTCTCTCTCTCTCTCTCTCTCTCTCTCTATCCCAGGTGGTTCAAACCAGAGTAGACTGACGAACCTGAAACTGTCAGACTGAAGCAGGCTGCATGTTTGGGGCAGCTTGAACAGGGTTTTATCAGATTAGGAGACTCCGGCTTCATCAGGACAAACACGGCGTCTCAACAGTTCAGTCGGTTCAGCTCATCACAGAGCAAACTGCTGCATCGAGTGAATCCCAAAGTCCGCTGGAGATAACTTCATATCTGCTTCAGTGTAAAAGTGTTTAACTTTTACTCTTAAAAGAAAAAAAAGAGAAAATGATTTGTGGATGATGCCAATAAAGTTATTCAGGGGTAAAAAATGTATGTATATATTTCAAAATGTAAACACAAATACACATTTGTTGACATTGCAGTCATCATCATAAACATCTATGAAAAACATTTTTGTCTATCATGTAAAATATGTTAGTGAAGTAAAAGCTTTGTCAAACATGACCACCGATACGATTTATTTATCGTCCGATAAACCAATAACTACTAAAGTAAAATAATAAATAAATAGTAGTAAACAAAAAAATAAATAAACACAGCAAAGAAAGAAAATGATTTGAAAAAAAGAATGAAAACAAGAATACTAAATATCAAAATCAAGAAGGGAATGATTGCTATGCCATTTCAAATCAAAGACAGCAAACGATACAGTGACGTTTATTTTGAAAGGCCGCCGGGAGTTACGTGCCTGAGCGCGCCTCGCTCGGCTCCTCCAGCCTGAGGAGGGAGTGGCCTGCTCGGTTTGGGGAAGCTGCAGCAGTCGGTGGTTTAGTTCCGTCAAATCCAGACTAACCCGAGACTCAGTGAACGGCCCGTGGGGCTGGGAAACACCGCGATGATGAAAATATGAGGTCTGGCCGACAGTTCTTCACCCACAGAGGATTTCAGGTAACTACAGACGCGCTTGTCACAGAGTGGGCTGCTGCGGATATAATGTCGGATACATGCGTAAAATACGCGAGGAGACAAGTTCCTGAGCGGCTCGGTGACGCAATCTGTTCGTTATATCGAATCTATTTATATTTATTAAAAGAGTGGGGTGTGTTTGCTTCACTGTGCGCTGCTTTATTGTGACATGTCATGTAAACAAGTTGGACAAGGTGTAATCCCCGGAAGGCCTTTAACAAGTTTATCCAATTACCTGGTGTCGCATTTTAAATAAAGTTAATTTTATTCATACACGTGCTTTTTAATTTGTTACTATACTTATTTTTTCTAAAATANTATGAAAAACATTTTTGTCTATCATGTAAAATATGTTAGTGAAGTAAAAGCTTTGTCAAACATGACCACCGATACGATTTATTTATCGTCCGATATAAGAACATTTGCTAAATTACACAAAAATATGAACTACGACCCTCAATATGACAAAATCTGTGTTCATGCCTGTCATATGTGGAAAGTTGATTTATTGTATTTCCCACAAAAACCTGAAGATGATGATGAAATAAAACAATGTTTTGGTTTAATTTAGGTTTGAAGTTGGTGTCAGTATTGGTTTCGGTTATTAAAGCATGAGCCAGGTTTGGTTTTAGAACCTCTACACCTCCTTTTCCTCTGCAGGAGTGGCTGCTGTCATTTGAACTAACTCTCTCTCACTCTTTCTTTCTGTGCAGGAGCTCTACAAGCCTTGAAGAGGAAAAAGCGTTATGAGAAGCAGCTGGGGCAGATTGACGGGACGTTGTCCACCATTGAGTTCCAGAGGGAGGCGTTGGAGAATGCTAACACTAATACAGAAGTGCTCAAGAACATGGGCTTTGCCGCCAAGGCATTGCAGGGAGCACACCAACACATGTAAGAGACACATTTCCAACGTTGGTATGAATTTGCAAGGAATATTATTTAGAGTCTGATTCCGTTGGTGTTCATGTTTTCTGTCTTTCTCTGTGTCTTCCTTTCTCACAGGGACATAGACAAAGTAGAAGATTTGATGTCGGACATCACAGACCAGCAGGAATTAGCCCAGGAGATCTCTGATGCCATTTCCAGACCAGTCGGCTTTGGAGAAGACTTTGATGAAGTGAGAATATCGAGAAATACAAACGTTGTGAAGCCTGACGTTGAGGTTTTACCTCTGAATGTTATCCTGCAGAGCAGATTTCTAGAGTTTTTCCTGATCCTGCTGTGTGTGTTCAGGATGAACTCATGGCTGAGCTGGAGGATCTGGAACAAGAAGAGCTGGACAAAAATCTGCTGGAAATCCAGGGAGCAGAAGACGTCCCTCTGCCCAGCGTACCATCTACATCACTTCCTGCTAGACCAGGTACTGCATGAAAACTTAAAAGAATAGAATGTTCAGTAGAATTTGTTCCACATCACACAAATCTGCAAGAGAAATTAAATTTCATGATCTATCTCTGTTTATTTTTAGCCAAGAAGAAGGAGGAAGACGAGGACGACTTCTCGGAACTCGAGGCCTGGGCAGCTAACTAAGCTAGCTTGCCATTCTAGCCAGCTAGCGCCCCTCTCCTGTCTGTCTCTGTGCTACCAGACAAGCCCCATTCATCTGGAGGACAGACAGAGACTCTGGGCTCCTGAGCTTGCTGCTCTGTCTTAAAGTCGACATCCCAATATCTAACCATACCCCCAGCCCTGAAGTATGCACTTGTGCACGTTTGCTGACTCGAGATGATGTGAACCCAGGCTGTACCCTTCAAATTAATGTTATAGTAAAAAATCACTTTGCTCCGGCCGCACACTCCTCTGTATGTAAAGGGCATCGAGCATGAAAAGTAGATGTCGTGCCCTCACAGCCTGTGGTTACGATTATCAAAGTGCTCTTTTTCAGAAAAAGAGTGCACGAATGAGCACTTAGAGCAGGAGCTGGCAAGTGCATACTTCTAGGGATGGGTGTGTGGAGGAACACGACAATGCTTGTTTCTGGGAGGAATGTGAAAAAATAATCAAAAGATGTGTGGGAAGAAAATCTAAAAAAAACAGAACGTGACTCGGCCATTTTTCTGCTTCCTGTGCTGTCATGTCTCTGCTCTTCTAAGATGGTGACGACAACCTTCATCCACACCATCTCTGCTAAATCTCAACAAAAAGGATGAATGATGAAAGTGTGGGACTTTCTTATTGAAACGTCACCGTCAAAAAAAAAAAAAAAAAAAAAAAAACACTTTACAGAAGTTTAACTTTGCAGTGAAGCGTTTTGTTGTCAGAGGATCCAGGGTTTGATCCCTCTGTCAGCCATATCCGGCACTGCCGAAGTGCCCATGGGCAACTTCTTGTTTACTTATCAAGGGCCATGTTGGTCCAACCACTTAAAATACTAAAATCTTGTGTGAGGAGAGAGTAAAAATAGATGAAACCTTTAGAGTATCAGTGATGCCAGTGCTTTGTTTCCACTGATGAACCTTAACCGCCATGATCCCCTGAGTCTGCCGAACAATAGAAAAGTGAAAAGCACCCGTTCGGTCACGATTCTTTGTGAATATTCGAAGCTTTCAACCTCACTCTCCAAAGCAACTGATGCTCGTGCTAACGTGCTAATGCCCGACTCTGCCGGAGACTTTGGTTCCAACGTGGTTCCTAAACGTTCTTTAAAACAAGTCGATGACACTGGCAGATAAGAGCGAGAAAAGTTTATCAAAAGAGTCATTTGCTTTGTGGATTTTTTCGTTTGGTAAAGAATCTTTAAAAGTATCATCGACGTCCCACCACAAAACCTAAAAAAAACAAACATGTATTGGATAATCCTGTGAAAGGATCTGACCCCTGAGAACTTACAAGAAATAAGATTGATTTGATGAATTGATTTTTCCAAGTACAAAAATCTGATGGATTTGTAGAAGTGTGAGCAATGTTATGCCATCAGGACAGTTAATACATTACTGTGTAACGAAGGTACGAATGGCCGCGACAGGACACATTACAATGCTTCTGTTTCTGAATTTGAGATTGCGAGGTGTCTGACTCCCTCCGTGGTTTAACAGTGACGTCCTCTGAGAGAGTCCCACATGTGCTGAATTTGAAAGATTCCGGGTGTGAGCGTGCGTGATGTCTTCTCAGCCTCTTGACACAGTGACCTCTTCTTTTTTTTTTTTTTTTTTCCTCCTTTTCCTCTTAACTCACCTGTAGTGGAAAAACATTTAATTTGAACATTGAACAACACACATGACACGTGTTGGCCTTCATGGTAAAATAAGGATTTGAGCGAGTCCAGCTTCTGCTCACCGCCCTGCTACTTATGCTGTAAAACCACACTCCCCTCCTCCCATCTGCAAACACAGTTATGCATGGACGGATTGGGGTCGGCCCAGAATCAGACAGCTGGTTGAGTGTGAACACGACGTATTTTTAAAAAACAAAAAAAACAAAGGAGCAATTAAAAACTTTTCTCATTTTTGTAACACTAAATCACAAAGTGGGTCGACCCCAACCCTTTATATTTAACAACAAACTATCAAAATGAAGTGTAGATATGATGCCAATGGAGTTTGTTTTTTCTTTTTCGTGTGTGTGTGTGTTTTGGCTCAAATATTACTCATGTGCTATCTGGCTGTACAGGAACAGTGTGACCAGTAGCCAGTTCTGCTCAGAGCTGTACAAAGGGTTGGACATTGGAGATATTTTTTTTTCCGTGTGGCAACCATGTTGCTCTGTGACTGTTGTCAATGTTGGGTTGTATACACTTTATCTTAATAAAGTTGGGATTTAATGCAAACCTCAGCAGTGTCTCATCTTTACCATGGACTGTGTGTAAACGTGAAGTCTGGGCCGGAAAGTGAAGCTAATGCTAAAGTGCCTGTTTTCTCTCGAATGACCTGTGGATCGCTCTCACTTGATTTATAATGTCGCCAAACATTTTCCTGATGAGTTTGTGCCTCATTCTCTACTCTGAGGTCTTCTTCAACACACGAGGTTCATGTTTGTGAATTAAGGTCCAGTCAAATAGACCATGAAGCACTGTTTGCATTGGTGCGTGGATGTCGTGTGAGTGACAGCTGGTTTTGTCCAGTGGGTGCGGGTCACAGGTGTAGTTGGGAACGCACTGTTCTCCAGTTCTCAGTCAGGCTCCGCCCCCCCCCGCCCCCCACTCCTCCAAATATGGTTGCGTCTAGTTTTAAATAAAACGAGACGGTGCTGCACAAACTGTCAAACCCGAGGCTTTAAGACTGCAGCTGACGTCACAGTGGGTTGTAAACCACACACACAAGATGAATGTGCCTTTCACTCCTGTTTCAGTCTGTGAACATCTGCAGCTTGGTTCTGTGTAACTGGCAGTGAACTGTGGTTTGCACACTTGTCAATGGCTTTTCAGTGGAATTTTAAACATTCAACAAGCAGGGGCTCCTCTGAGCAACTGACTCTGGTAATCTGTGTTAAGATTTGAAGTTTGAAATGTCAATGGTGCAGATGTGAATTAAGTTTTTAGATTGTTATTACATTTGTGTGAATGTTTCAGGGGTTATAATGCACAGATCTTGATTCTTCACTGTTTAAGTGTATGTGTTTGTGAAACAAACATCATTTGGGTTTTCAGACCACTTCAACAATGACGTGTTTCCTGCACATGTTTACTATGAACACTTGAGTCCACCTCCCTCCAGAGAGTTCAACTAGAGCTGAGGCTCAAACCAAGCACACGTCAGACTGCTGAGTGAACAACCCGCTGTGGTCCTGACCAACACGGCTTGAAACATGTTCTTAAATTAGCTGCAGTGTTGAATTTCTACCAGTGAGCAGAGTTCAGCCTCTTCAACACGAGGCTTCATTCACTCCCTGTGTTTCTACGCTCGTGATTTATCGCAGACTTTTTATTTACCTGCTGTACGGAGACATTCAGGCTACTCTTGGGTTTGGGTTCATCTGTTTTGATGCAGTTTATATTCAGATAGTCGATGGTGTTATATAAAGTGAGTGTTCTGTCATTGAATAATCACAAGTTTGAGCTGAATCCTGTTAAATCAATGAATCAGTATCCCTGACATGTGCCGCAGATAAACTCTGGAAAACCGAACCACAGAACATCGTCACTGCAACATGGTACAACAATACAATCTACTTCATTTCAATATTTTGCTGATACCGACTTCATCTCTAAGGTTTTTCACGGCCTCGCACCTGCGTCTAAACTAGGTCAGTTTATAATGCAGAAGGACAATAGTTGTGGGGAAACGAGGGTGATTATCAGAGGGGACAGTGTCGTGCAGTACAGGCTTAAAAGGTTTGGGCCTCCAGCTACTGGAATATAAATTTACCTGTTGATTTAAGAAATAATAGTAGTTTAATAACCTTTAAACACAAACTTAAGATACAGCTCAATTTAACCAAACTTGTCATCATGTGTGATTATTGCACGTTATTTTACGTCTTTTGGTTTAAATCTTCTTTTTGACTTTGCAAGAAAAGAGACAAAACAAGACAAGGGCCACAAGACAGTGTGTGTGTGTTGATTTTCTATATTCAAACAATTCTAATGTTTTGGCAGTGAGCATAAGGAGGGAGGTTCAAGATCATATAATCTAATAACAATGGTCTTATTATCATATTAATAATCCAACCAGGATGATAATAATCTTATTAGAGTCATAGTCATCATTGCAACAATTATCTCACTAAACAATAGTAATAATATGTATAATCTCCTCTTAGATATGTTTTGTTTAAGTGTTAAAATGTCAGAATTAGTTGTGGAAGAGTGTGTGTGAGGACCTTTACTCTCACTGAGTCTGAGACAAGGTCCAGTGGGCTGGAAAATGAAGGCCAAGGCCGAGATAGAGCTAAGGGTAGGGCAGCAGCTATTCTTAGTACTGTGCATTAACACATTAACAAGAACTAATAAGACAACACACAGTGTTTATTACGCTATTTCTCTTTTTATTGTTGTTTTATTATTAATGACCTGTTGCACATAGGTAAATTTTCCTGCCACGTATTATTATCATTACATTTATTTTATTTGTATAGGTTGTGATCCTTACTCAGGTTTAAAAATGAACTATGCTTTAATTTCCCATGTTCTGAACATCCTGGTGTCCCTTTTAAACTCTTAGAAAGAGAGACAAAGTGTAGTTCACATTTACTCATTAGACACTTGTGGGTCCAGCTTCTTGCTCAACAGTATTTCTCAACTCTCTCTGTCTGGAGGAGCTGGAGGTCAAACCAGGATTCTTTCAGTTTTGACTTCATGTGCATGAGAGATTATTATTTTGTGTATTGAACCAACACAGATATGTCACATTATGTTCTGGTGAACCCTTCTGTAGATTATGCATATACACTTTGTGCTGTTTGTTTAACAACAGCAGCTGCATGCATGTGCAGAAAGACGTCACAGTTCAATATTTATACAAATTAAAATTAAACAGTATATGTAGGGAAGCAGTTTTTATCTGGTGTAGTGTTCAATCATTTGTATCCTTGTGTTATTATTATTATTAGCAGCCATAGTGTTCTAATCATGGGTTTGTTGAACAGTTAGTTTGGTTTGTATAATGCACATGAATTATCCACAGATGTCTTATGTAATCTACAGCATTTAATTTGTAATAGTCTTAGTCACTATAATAAAACACAATAGAAAATCTGCCTTGATGAACTCATCGTAACTTCATTTTAGAAACATCTGACTCCACATCTGTTATAGCTCAAACCAACTTGCTCCAGTAGAAAGTGTTGTAAGTGTATAATACATGTCGGATGATAATATGATGATATGTCAGATGATAATAATCAGTTTTAGAGAAGATACAACTTTTCATTCATAAAATGCAGCAACAACAACAGTGGATAAAAATCACCTGATGTAAAGTACAAAGTTTACTACACTTGTTCTGCTCGTTAATAAAATAAAATCTTCTCTAACTTTTAGAAACATCTGTTATTTCTCAACTTAAACTAAGCTCGAGTCGTTTGGTTGGCCGGCCCACACACCGACCCCTCGTCCAATCAGATCACTCCGGCGCGGGGCGGGGATCCTCCTCGGCCAATAGGAATGCAGAGTTCGGTGCCGGTTCGTCCGGTGGACCTCGGCTCGGAGTATAAAAGCCGAGCCGTCACGTCCCCGCTCCCTCCTTCTCTGCCTCCGTCCTCCGCCGCAGCAGCTCCACCGGGTCCGAGCACCACGAAACCAACAATGTCTGACAAACTCACCTTCAAAGTCGGTCAGTAGTTTTTTTTTTTAATTTTTTAATTTCACGTTTACACTCTTGTTTTGAAGTCGTTCAACAAGATGGCGGGTCGCTAGCTAGCATTGCTAACTGGTGTGGTAACGTGCGCCGGCTTCACCCCACGCA